GATCAGATGTAAGCTCTCAGCTACTGCTCCAGCATCATGCTTACCTGCCTGCTAGCATGCTCCCCAACATGACGATCATGGACTAACACCATGAAACTGTAAGCAAGCCCCCAATTAAATGTTTCCTCTTATAAATTCCCTTGGTCATGGTGTCTCTTCACAGCAATGAGTAGTAACTAAGACACTACCTAGGGCAGACTAATAACTGACAAAGATAGTCCTTTCCCCTCTTATATCCTCAAAGATATCGAATCTTGAAGTACCTCCTTTTCTCCCCAGTAATTTTTCCTATCTGATATTCTTGACATCAACATATGAACACAATGTTAGCCCTCCCTCCCCCTTTTAAAATATTATCCCACTAGAGACATGGCCCAGTGGTTAAAAGTACTTATTGCTCTTGAGCAGTTTGGCTCCAGCACCCACATCAGGCTGCTTACAACTGCTTGTAAATCCAGTTCCAGAGAATCCACACCCTCCTCTGGCCTCCACATGCTCAGACACAGATGCATAAATACCCATGAATAAAAATAAAAGTCTTTTAAAATTATCTTAAAGCTGAGCAGTAGTGGCACACACCTTTAATCCCAGCAGAGGCAGTTGGCTCTCTGTGAGTTCAAGTTCAGACTGATCTACAGAGTGAATTCCAAGACAGCCAAGGCTACAAAGAAAAAGCCTGTCTCAAAAACAAAACCAAAAAAAAAAAAATTATCTTCTGATAAGATTAGTATCTGATAAAGTAGAAGTCAATATAAAGCAAGATGAGGAGCTAAAGAGAGGACAACAAAGATGATATGTCCTTATTACCAGAGATAGAGGAGAAATACTTTATAACAAAGAGTTATAAATTCATGGATAGGGATGTAGTTCAATTGGTAGACTGCCTAGCATGCACGAAGCCCTGGGTTTGATCCCACAGAATCTTGACTTGGCATCACACACCTATAATCCCACCACTGAAGAGGTGGAAAAAAGTCAGTAATTCAAGATCATCTTGACTACATCTAAGTCTGAGGCCAGACTAGGCCAAATAAAACCCATTTCAAAAACAAAATAAATTTAAAAAACCAATTTTATTGTCATAAACAAGACACAAATGTCAATTTAAGGATTATAAGAATAGTGGTTCTCAACCTTCCTAATGCTGCAACCCTTTAATATAGTTACAATACAGTTAATACTGAAAAATTATTTTTTAAAAATCCTTTTTTTTAAATTTATTTAATTTTATTTTATGTGCATTGATGTGAGGGTGTCAGATCCCTAGAACTAGAATTACAGTTGTGAGCTGCCATGTGGGTGCTGGGAACTGAACCTGGGTCCTCTGGAAAAACAGCCAGCCAGCGCTTAACCACTGAGCCATCTCTCTAGCACCATAAAATCATTTTTATTGCTACTTTTTTGTTTTGTTTTTTCGAGACAGGGTTTCTCTGTGTAGCTTTGCGCCTTTCCTGGAACTCGCTTTGGAGACCAGGCTGGCCTCGAACTCACAGAGATCCACCTGGCTCTGCCTCCCAAGTGCTGGGATTAAAGGCATGCGCCACCACCACCCGGCTTATTGCTACTTTATAACTGTAATTTTGCTACTGTGATGAACCATAGTGTAAATACCTAGTATGCAGGATATCTGATATTCAACCCCCATGAAAGGGTCGTTCAATCCCCAAAGGAGCTGTGACCTACAGGTTGAGAACCACTGGACTAGAGGATGTGTATGTAGCTCAGCAATAGGAATACAAATTATCAAGAGATTAACATGGGGCTGAAGAGATGGCTCAGCAGCTAAGAGTATTTGTTGCTCTTGCAGAGGGCCTAGGTTAGGTTCCCAGCTCACAACAATCTATTTCAGGAGATCTGACCGTCTCTTCTGATCTCCAAGGGCACCAGGCACACATGTAATGCACACTAGGGCTCTTTGGAGAAATGTTAATTCAGGGACTATGAAGACCTGAATTTGGATTTAAGAGCCCTCAAAACAAGTCAAGTGTGGTCTCACATGCACCTGTAACCTCAGTGTTGTGGAGGATGGAGACAAGAAGATAATTGGGCTTGCCAGCTGCCAGCCTAGCAGGGAACAAAAATGAAAGCTCCATGCATAGGGAGATCCTGCCTCAAAGGAATAAGTTGGAGAGCAATAAGGGTAGAACATTCAATAAACATCCTGCATGTGCATCCACAGACACACATGTGCATATGCTACAAACACATAGACTTCTGATCACACCCCACTACACATATGAAAACAGCAAAAACATTTAAAAAATCAAAATCAACATTGACAAGGATATGGAAAAATTGGAACTTTGTTCATTATTTGTAGTATGTGAAAATGGTACAGTATGGCATGGTAGTTCTTTTAAAATCACAAATATAGCTGGGCTACTATAGTGGCACACACCTTTAATACCAGCACTCTGAGTTCGAGGCCACCCTGATCTACTAAGCAAGTTCCAGGACCAAGAAGCCCTGTCTCAAAAAAAAAGGGTGGGGGGGGAAACACCCCCCCCCAAAAAAAGGAATAGCAACTAGCAATTACTAAGTATTTTCTACATATCAAGAGTATTTGCATTGAACTTCGTAACTAAAATTGAATGCTATTAACTACATGCAGTGGATATCGTTCTATATAAATAAAACACTGATGGCCAGTGACCAGGCAGGAAGTAGGTGGCCAGGCAGGAAGTAGGTGGGACAAGGAGAGAGGAGAATTCTGGGAAGCGGGAGGCTAAGGGGGGAGACACTGTAGCCACCGCCAGGACAAGTAGCATGTGAAGACTCTGGTAAGCCACCAGCCACATGGCAAGGTATAGATTTATAGAAATGGGTTAATTTAAGATAAAAGAACAGTTAGCAAGAAGCCTGCCACGGCCATACAGTTTATAAAAAATATAAGCATCTGAGTGATTATTTTATACGTGGATTGTGGGACTGCGGGGCTAGGGGAACCTGGAGAGAAGCCCTCCAGCAACAAATGGCGCCCAACGGCTCAAGTTTCCACCTTAAACCTGAGAATATTTAATAACCAATTCTAAACAGAGCCAAAAACAGGTTCCTGCTTCTTGTCTCATACGGGCAGCTAGACGCTGCAAAATGCGGGTTTGAACACTGGCGGGTTCCTGGCGTGTGCGTTTGACCAGCAGTATGGCGGGAATGAGGCGTCTGCCAGCAGCACATTAAGCTGTGTGGTAGATTTAGTCTTTACTAGTATTAAAAAAAAAAAAAAAAAAGAGGTTTCTGGGCTACACGCTGCTTTGTTAAAAGCGTAGACCCACTATTTCTGAGAATTAATGGCTCCCAGAGCTGGCGGAAAATGTACCACCACCATGTTGGGAAGCTGAAGTGGACAGAGCCAGCAGCCACAGCGCCATTTCAGGCTTAAAGAAAAAATATATACCGTTATATAAACAAATAGTATCTAAAAATAAAGTGTTTAAAAAAAAGTGAAGGTAATAAGCCACGTAAAGATGGCTATCACACATAAAATCTGGATTATGTT